GTCTCCTTTTTTTGTCTCCTTTTTTGTCTCCTTTTGCTGTCTCCTTTTTTTGTCTCCTTTTTTTGTCTCCTTTTGCTGTCTCCTCCTTTTATGCGTCTTTTTTGTCTCCTTTTATGTGTCTCCTTGTGTCTCTATTTGTTTGCTGCTGTCTGCTTGTTGCTGTTTCCTTGCTGCAGCAGGAACGACGAGAGCTGATGGATTCCCTTGACCCAGCAGCAGCAGCAGCAGCAGCAGCAGCAGCAGCAGATTTAAATAGTCCGTATGGTGACTGGCATTATAATCCCCTATTGGGGAAGGACATGCGGCGGCGGCAGCAGCAGCAGCAACAGCAGCAGCAGCAGCAGCAGCAGAAGGTAAAAGGGAGACACCCTTATGCTGCTCGTCTTAGACAAGGGACAAGATTGTCGCGGTGTAAGGACGCGGAGAGTCTGAGCAGCAGCAGCAGCAGCAGCAGTAGCAGCAGCAGCAGCAGCAGTATGACCAAGCGTCACACTCCAGCAGCAGCAACAGCAGCACCACCAACAGCAGCAGCAGCAGCAGCAGCAGCAGCACGAGGGGATCGTAAGAAAAGAGGAGACAATCGTCCCTATAGAGGATCTGTCTCCTCTATATCCTCAGGTGTCTCCTCTGTCTCCTCTGTCTCTTCTGTCTCTTCTGTCTCCTCTGTTGCTGCCTTCGAGGCAGCAAGAAGACGTTGGCAGCAAAGGAGACAGCAGCAGCAGCATGACGAGCAGCATGACCCCCAGCAACAGCAGCAGCAGCAGCAGCAGCAGCAGCAGCAGCAGCAGCAGCAGCAAGGGAGACACCGCGAGGTAACTCTTGTTAATCCTTCTGCTGCTCTTAAGGAACATGTACAAAGAATGAAGCTTCGTGCAGAGCGTGCTGCTGCTGCTGCAGCTGCTGCAGCAGCAGCAAAAGGCAGCAGCAGCACAGCAGCAGCAGCAGCAGATGGCCCCCCAGCAGAATTCGAGCTCCTATTTAACCATTGGTCTCTTTCTGCTGCTGCAGCAAAAGAAGAAGAAGTAAATAATCTTGTTAAGGAATTAGCTGACTTGCTGCCTCTTCGTAGGCGCAGCAGCAGCAGCAGCAGCAGCAGAGCAGCAGGACGAGCAGCAGCAGGTAGAGGAACTAGATGGAGGAGACCTGCTGCTGCTGCTGCTGGTTATAACACAACAGATGAGGAGCAGCAAGGAGACACAGAGACAGCAGCAACAACAAGCAGGAGCCGCAAGGAGACAGATACAGACAGCAGCTTACTTAGCAGCATGAGGCGCAGCAAGACCAGCAGCAGCAGCAGCAGCAGCAGCAGCAGCAGCAGCAAAAAGGTCTCCTTTCCTTCGGAGTTATATGATGATGGAGACGATGATGTTGCAGCAAGATACTTTGACCGTACAGCAGAAGCAGCAGCAGAAGCTGCTGCTGCTGCTGCTGCTGCAGAAAGAGCAGCATTTGCTGCAGAAGCAAGAGCAGCAGCAGCAGCAGCAAGAGCACAAGGGATACAACTGTCTCCTCTGCAGCAAGGGGCTGTCCCTCATGGTATCTTATTACCTACAGATAAACGTATTATTAATGAGGAAGGTATACCTAAGGGTATTAATACAGCAGCAGCAGCAGCAGCAGCAGCTGCTGCTGCTGCTGCTGCTGCTGCAGGAGCAGCAGAAGCAGGAGGTGGGGATCAGTTAGGTGGTGTTATAAGCGGTGATGGGTCGCCAGCAGCAGCAAATGCAGCAAATGCAGCAGCACCAGCAGCAGCAGCAGCAGCAGCAGCAGCAGCAGACTCGGTATCTAGCCGACTACGTCAGTTAAGAAATTGTGGGGATGTAGCAGCAACTAACAAAAGCAGCAGCAGCAGCAGCAGCAGCAGCAGCAGCAACATAAAGAAGACACAGGTGTCTCCTTTTGTGTCTCCTCATGGTGTTCGTTCTTCATGGCACAGCAGCACATATTTGTCTCCTCCTGTTGCTGCAGCAAAGCGTATGAGCAGCAGCAGCATGAAGAGCAGCAGCAGCAGCATCCCCACCCCAACCAGCATCAGCATCAGCAGCAGCAGCAGCAGCAGCAGCAGCAGCAAGAGGGACCCAACTCCTGTGTCTCTAGAGGAAGCAGAAGCAGAGATGGAGACACCTGACTATGAATTAGATAGGTATGGATCTAAGGTATATATAAGAACAGAAGATGATCTTTCTGCTGCTCCTCCTCCTTCTTGCTGCAGCAGCAGCAGCAGCAGCAGCAGCAGCAGCAGCAGCAGCAGGTGCAGCAGCAGGTGCTTTGGCAGAAGAAGAGGCAGAAGCAGCACAAGGAGATTTAGAATGTGCAGCAGCAAGAACTGCAGCATGAGCAGCAGCCGCTATATTAGATACAGCAGCTGCAGCAGCAGCAGCAGCAGCAGCAGCAGCAGCTTATATGGGGATGGATCTGTGGGGCAGCAGCAGAGTCCTGATAGGGAGGAGAGCAGCAGCAGATATTTCTTATTTGCTGCAGCAGCAAGACATGCAGCATC